CACTCCTTTTATTGACTGCCTGGCATTCTTTTCTATCAACATACCTGTGTTGAATCATTCAGTCCCCAAGCCCATAGGCATTGAGGTTATTCCAGTTCTTTGCCACCATATGTGTGAGGATGAATTTCTAAAAGAAAAATTGCCATATGTGTATGTGTAATTCTGAAAGAAATTGCCAAACTGCCATTTTATGGTGATTTGCCAGTTTGGTTTCCCACCAGCAATGTATAAGCATGCCTGCATTTTGACACTTTTGCCAATGTAGTTATTAATTTGATTTAAAAAAAGAAAAACTTTTTGGTTGATGATGGTATATCTCTTTGTAGTTTGAAATTGTATTTTTCATTGTGAGAGAGATAAGCATCTTTTCATGTTTTTAGAACCATCTGTACTTCATTTCCCATTTTTTCTATTAAGTCATTGATTTGATAGACTATAATTTGAGGCCAGTTGTAAACATGAGCCCTACTTGCCTCTTAGCCCTCCTTATCCACTATCTTCAAATTCCTCCTGTCTTAAAGGCATACAGACCATCCAGACCATTTTTTGTGGCCTGACATTTGTTAATGTAAACTTTTGTTAGTGACCTGTGACTTCAAATGTTGACAAGTAGCTTTACTGGTTTAAAAAAAAAAAACAAACCCAGTGGTAGTTTGCCAGAGAGAACAAGGAGGAGGTGGTAGAGAGGGAGGTTGTGAAGTAACCCAGTGGAAGAAACAAGGGAAGGAAGTTGAAGCAAAAGCCTAAAAGGTAAGGGTGGTGTCCTGCACAGATTGAGAAGTCTACTTGTTAAGTCTGTTAAGATAGCACTTCCAATGGCAGTAAGTTCTCTTAAAAAAGAAATAGAGAAAGGGGGAACGCCAACTTCTACCAAGGATAAGTGGAAAGCTTACTTTTCTTTAAATGTGTTTGGCAGCCTTGATTAAAATAATTTTAAAGCACTGAATCTGACAAGGAAGGCAACCGCTGAGTGACTTGACTATAGCAAAACAAAATATGTAAAAGTAGTTGTCATTCTTAAAAAGGTCAGTCAACTGGGATTTAGGCCTAGACAGAATCCACAGGTTTGGTATAACTGATTACAACATTTTTTGAAGAGGGGATTTTTGTGAAAATTTTTTTGTATTGAGATTGCCTTACATTCCTTGTCATGACAGAAAATCTCTTGTTTGACAACCAACCAAGAATATCAGGGACAGAGAGCCTAAGTTTTCTCCACACATTTGAATTTTCTTATTAGGAAGATTTACACCTTTTATCATAACAGTCCTGTCATTGATTCTTGCGGAGCTGCTTTCCTGAATGAGGTGTGGCACAGAGTCTCCTTTTTCCTTGAGACCGACCCCAAGCCATCCTCTTGCTGCTCCCAGGAGAGCTGTCAGTGCCCTGAGCTCTGAGCAGACATGGCTGGCCCTTGCCTTGCCTTGACCTTGACAGTTCAACTCTGGAACCATATTTGAAGCTGAAACCTTCAGTTTTTTTGCTGTTGTTGATCAGGCCAGTGTTATAAATCCTCTCAGGTAGGTTGGTAGATTTTACTCACCATGACACCAGTTAAGTTCTTAAAGTTGCTCAGCTGTATTTCAGTGAACATCTGCATGTGGACTAGTCCTGAACTCTCCTTGGGCTCCGTTTTAGCTCATGACAGAAGGGACCTCTTATGAGAGCTGTGATGGCCCCACAAATCACGCTTGTTTTCTCACTCTGGAGTCAGCCAGGATAAACAACAAGCATTTGTTGGTTTGTATTTACGTAAAACTACAGTAAGAAGATTTTTAAAATTTCCTTGAAACCTCATGATATAATATGAAGAGAAGCTTTTCTTTTTTTTCCTCTCATTTGGAGGCTTGGACATTAAAGCTGTGAGTGCCTCATGATGTTTTTTGAGGAATTGAAGAGGATGAAATGAGGGCAGGAACATGAGGAGAGGGTGCTGACACTCTTCCTCTTTCCTAATAAACAGAGAGCAGCCACCATCTCACAGGCACGGTTCTCTGCTGTAGGTACAGACACAACTGTGTGTGAGTTTACCATGATACACCTGTTGGGAAATCTGTAGAGAAGTGATTCACAGGTCCTGTGACAGGTGTGGACAGTCTGTGGTTTTTTCAATGCAGGCTTTGTTCTGCTGTAAGGCTCTTTCCTCCTACCTCAGATCAGTCCCCTATCATGGACATGCAATAGTTACTCCAGACTTCCTGTTTTGACATGGATTATTTAAAGATCAGGACAGGAGTGAGAGACCATTTTCTCTTGATTTCAGCTCCCGTTTGAGACCAGCCTTCTCCCAGTACACTGACCCTGGAAAGGCTTCACTGTTCCCATAAGATCCTACTTTACTCCTACATGGTTTGCCTTCCCTTCAGAATGCAGGGAAGTATACATGCTTTCAAGGCTGAACAGATACCTTTATCTAACAGAGAATGAGATAACTAGGAAATTCCCTCTGCCTTCTGAGGAGCAGTGGACGCTTCCATCCCTTGCGTGGAAAAGGGGATTCCCTTCTTTACCTCAGTCTGAGCTACTAAACTTGACTCAGCAACATAGAGGAAGGAGAGCTGACCTTATAGTAGTGTGGGGACAGGATGTGAATATTGCTGGGCATTCCTGTCCTCCCTTCGTCCGAGGTCTCACTTCCCTACAATTCAGCACGGCCAGCTTGTGGTCTTCATGATACATTTCTGGCCTTGTCTACAGATGCTGAACAGAACTAGTCACCCTTAGAATTGAAAAAAGGGAGCAAAAAGTTCAAGCAGGCTCTGTCTCAGAACAGGGTTAAGACTGAGTACCAGAGACAGACAGTTTAGGAGTTTGGGACCTTAGTGTAGCTACCCTCAGTCCACTTCCTTGTAGTGAGTGACAGTGAGCCCCGTGTTCATCTTCAGAATCTAGATAGCAGAGCCTGTGCCTGATCTGGGCTCGGGTCTGCCAGAGGAGCCCCCAAGGGTAGAGCCTGGGATGGCTGTCTGGGAGGAGGGTGGCTCCTGCAATAGAAATGTAACAATGTAATGTCCACGTGGGTCCTGAGGACCCCTCGCTTCAGTTTGGTTTAGGAAGAGTAGTGACAGGTTATTTGGGGGGAGTGTCATTTTCATGTCTACAAATAAACTAAACATTAGAATCTTAAGAACTTTGCAGAGAAAACATACCCAATGTTCCTGTATGTACATTCTGTTAGAAAATAAATGTAGATTCTGTGGTGACTCAGAAGATGTGCAAATTGAGGAACCCTACATGATTTTAGCATACACATGCAGCATGATAACATGTAATTTCTTGGATGAGGTTTCTTTACGTTGAGTTGGGTTTAAAATGATGTTTACTCTCCATGCTGAGGAACAGGAATAGTGAGTCCATTGATCAAGTGGCAGCCTCAAGTGCCAGCCCTGGTTCTCTCCGGGCTGGTGCATTTTCCGGAAAGAGGAGGAGGGGAGAGCTTCTGGATAATGGTGCTGCCTGTCTTGATGGCTCACTCTTGTCAGGGGCCCTTTAGCTGGAGTGCCAGGGTGAAAGTATACACCTGGGGGTGGTCCTTAGCAAAGTGGAGGGGACAGGCCCCAGCTGGAGAATTGTGGACCAAAGGGCAGGGCTGAGGGCCACTTGAGTTATCCTTGGGAAGGTGGAGAAGTGATGTGGGCTTGCTCTCGATGATAGACTCACAGTATACTTGGCCTTCCATATTCATGGGATTCGCATCTGTGGCTTTCACATCTGCAGCTTTCACAGCTGCAGGTTTAATCAACTGTGGGTTGAAAATATCCGGCGGGGGGGCGGGGGGGGGATGGATCCCAGAAAGTTTCAAAGAGCAAAACTTGAATTGGTCACTCGCGAGCACTACCTGATTCCATGAAAATGAAGTGATGTGTGGGTACACCCTGCTGTAGCCTATATGCAAATACAGGTTATATGCAAATACTACACCATTTTGTAAAAATAAGGGACTTGAGCATCTGTGGATTTTGGATTTTTGATATCTGTGGGGAGCCCTGGAATTAATCACCCCAGATACAAGGGACAGGTGTGCTATTTTCATGTGGCTGTTTAGATTGTATGGAGCATATGCTCACTCAGGCTAGCTGTCCTAGGAGAGAAGAATGCACTTTCACGAAGTTGCATAGTACTGGAAGGGTCATGGAAACTCAGGAATCTGCATCGTGATAAGATCTAGCAAGGCCCCACAGAGGCTGGAATGGGAGGCTCTTCAGGACCCTCTAACATGGTTTTGTATCCTCAGCTCAGCAATACTCCCTGTTGCTATATTTCTCCTTCTACTTCTCTTACAGCTCTGTTGTTTCCTCACCCTCCTAGGTCTTTTCTTTAATTTGGGCTTATTCATGACCTTCCAGAGCCCCTGCTCTATCTCATGACTTCTTGCTACATGTTCTTTCAAATTTAAATTTTCTCTTATTATTTTTTTGAATTAAAACTCCTGGTAGCAGCATTCTGTGCTCACCCCACTCTTGGGCCACAGGTTGAGCTATGGATTGGTGGCCCTGTAATCCCTCATTTTTATAAAGAGCTCTAGCAGAGTAGCAGGTTTTGTAGCCCACCCATGAGGTTGTGAGTAGGAGAGAGCGCTCTATCCTGGCCAGCTTTGATTAGGATTATCCAGAAACTGCTAGCAGGGAAGCAAGTGCCAGCAGTGATGTACCACGCAGTACTTTGCTTTTGCCATATACCTTGTAGTACTTGGTTTTGTGACTTTTGTACAAACTAATTAAATTTGATGCTTAGGAAATAAATAACCATTGAATCTGCATATCTGTGGTGCTGTTCCAGAGCACCAGATATATCTTGGCTTCACTTTCACCTGCATATAAGCAAAGAAGGGTGCTATTTGGTTTGTTTGGTCTCAGCTTGTAGGGACCTCGTACAGTTACTGAGCAGTATGAAATAAACAGACCTCCTTAGATTCTCCCCCGATTCCCATTCAGAAGGAGGTGGAGTTCACAGTTCTCTTGACTCTTTCCTGAAAACTGACTGGAGGTGTGTTGTTACAGGCTGGGGGTCCTCCGCTGGTGTCGGCTCCAGTGTCTGCCTTCTCTCGCACTTCTGTCACACCTTCCAATCAGGATATCTGCAGGTAACACTTGCTTCAGATGCTACACTGGCTCATGTTCATCCCAGAAGTAAGCATTAGTGTCTTAGGTTCCTGATTTTTCATTTGCTTGGTCAGTATGCCTTTGCTGTGAACAGTACACCCAGATTTATATACTATTTGCTCACCAAGTTACCACATGAATTTCATTTCTTCACTTTTATGTCTGTTCTCTTTAAAAATTGTTTTTACTCTCTGTGTTTTTATTCCACTGTTCTCTGCATGCAGTTCCAGTGCAGTGTTTTCTGAGTGTTGTCACCACAGTCCCATGCAGTCCGCTGTTGTCTTGAAAGCTCCTCAGTGCCAGAGTTCTCTGACACAAGGGCTCACTGTGACAGTTATCTGTAAAGACACATTACAGGCATCAAAGAGAAATTCCGGTGGTTCAGAATGGGTCCAGGCCTGGAAGCCTGCTAAGAATACCAAAGCCAGAAGAACACTAAAGTTCTCAAAATCCTTAAATGATGTGGGTGAGAAGGCCCAGGACCCTTTGGAAAATTTTGACTATGCAGAAAGAACTTGCTCTGAAGGGAAATTGATACTCTCTCAAGATCCATATCTCAGAATTAACAGATTCCATCATAAACAAAAAAGAACTCTGAATTGCAAATCTCTTGACCATTCCAAACATTCTTGTGTTTCATCCCTATTTGCCAATAATTCAACTGCCTCAGAGGTGCAAGGTGGCAAGGGGGGCAGACATGTCCCCCTTTTGGAAGAGAAAGCAGATTGTGAGGCTGTTTCCAGAAGCCAGAGACTGCTCAGGTATCTGTTCTCCCTCTCGCATGGCTCAAGTGCCAACAGCCTGCATAGGTTCCACGAGCTGGAGAGCTGTGCTGCTCACCTGTGCTCTGCCAAGTCCTCCAGCGGGCTGGCAGGGAGCACTGGCTTCTGCTCCGACGAAATGGGAGATGATGACGTCTTTGAGGACAACACATCCACAAAATCGAAGAGCAAGGTCCTGCGGGCACCCCTCTGCTCAATGGAGAAGGATAGTGACCTGGATTATTATTCTCCTCTCTCTGAACAATGCCCCCCTCTCTCTCCTGTGTCCACATCAGGGGATGCCTGCAGGTTGGTTTACCAAGAACCACCATTCTGTCCATCTCTGCTCCCCACACCTGTGTAGCCTCATCTTGCTTTAATATGTGAAGTTTCAGAAAAATGAATTAGTAGGCAGTTTAGACAATGGTGGATTAATAGTTTTCTCTTGAAGAATGGAATATTGATATCATTTGAAAAACCAATTTCTATGACTTGGGTCCCAAGATAGTTTCACAGATGATAAAAGAGGAAGAAACTATACATATTAAAGGTCAAGCTGATTCTTCTCAACTAAAAATAAGTAGAGTTTACATAAAGAAATTGGAAGAAAGAAGTTTGATGGTCTAGATTTTAAGGCTTGCCGACCCCTCGCAGCCTCAGTTTTACCCCTTGCTCCACCTACAATTGATGTGTGTGGGAGGAGGCTGTCCTTCCTTCCCTCTTTTAACTTGGATGCAGACACCTCTATCCAGATTCTAATTCCACTTTCCACCTTTATATCCTCCCATGTGCAGCATCCTTGTCTGGCCCCCAAAGTCTTTCAGAATTCACTTTTTGTCACCACTCTCAAGCCTTCCCCATTCTAGCCTTTCCCCACTCACCCCTCCTTAGGGCAAGCTATTATGTCTAACCATTGGATCAGAAAGAAACAGTGGAGAGCCTGCCCAGCTCTTTCAGGCCAGGTATCTCTGCTGCCCTGTAGCTTCTGGGAAAGACCATTCTGTTTCTCAAAAGCCTATTTAGTTTCTTGAAGTTAGGTAGCTATATCCTGTTGCATGTACCCTGAACCTCTCGATATAATGAATGATTTAAAATTCTCAATTATTGCTGAAAGTAGTCTTCCAAAAAGAAATGAAATTGCCGTACCTTATAATGTTTTTTAGATCCAGAAGAGGTACTGTGATTTCTCTGTTTACTCTCTGACAGAAATGTGTAGCTGTGTATGGAGGTGAGGTCAGTGATTATGCTAAAAAAAAAAGAAAAAGAAAAAGAAAAAAGAATCCCTCCATCTTTTTACATCACTGGTATTTTTGGAAGGTAGAATGCTCATTCTGTTTTAAACATAATTTTTTTTCAAATTATTTTAACATCTTTAGTTCCAGAAGATGCTTCCATGTAGCCTTAAATTTGGCTTTCAGTGAAATTCTTTAGTCTTACCAAAAGTGACTTGTCATTCCTTATATCATTTTTTTCCTCTCTGATGCCAAATGCCATCCAGATTTTCCATGTTGATGTGGTAAGCTTGAAATTTTTAGTTTGTAGTAATTGTCCTCATTTATGTTTGTATGTTTTTGTGCTTGTAGTCAATTCTGTGATGTTTGTTTCTGAAAGTCTTCTTTGGGGGTATTGACCTTCCACTGAAGTGGCATCTTCCCTGTTTTGTAATCCTCCTTGTAATGACTGGCTTTCCTGCTGCCCTAGGATCTGTCACTGTGAAGGGGATGACGAGAGCCCTTTGATCACACCCTGCCACTGCACAGGGAGCCTGCACTTCGTGCACCAGACCTGCCTGCAGCATTGGATCAAGAGCTCTGACACACGCTGCTGCGAGCTCTGCAAGTACGAGTTCATCATGGAGACCAAGCTGAAGCCTTTGAGAAAAGTACGTGTAAGGGTATTTACCCTGGGCAGTGCTTTAACCTTGCTGAAATGTATGCCCCTGAAGAGTCAGCACCTGGGCCTGGATGAAGCATTAGCTTACTTGTGTTCGCCTCTTTGAGGAGTGGGAGCTGGTGTATACATCATGTCGTAGAGATCATTATTTCTGGAGACTTCCTAGAAAGTCTCTCCTTTCAGGAAGAAGCTCTTTCTTACCACTTAGCCGTAATGTTTTCTTTTTCCTCCAAACTAAAACTGCTTTCTTGTCTGCATCAGTCATTTGGTCCTTGACCTGTTTTGTGACATTTTAGTCAGCATTTAACTTTATATGTACTAACTCTTCATGCCTTGTCTTTAATTAGAACTGTATATTAGAGATTAGTATCTCTCCCTAGCCCAAAGCAAAGCATAACATAGTACATTTACTTATGTATTGTGACAAATATTTAGATAGGAGAGTGGGGTGGGTGGGAAAAGAAAGAAAGCAAAGGCATTTCAGGCAGTGCAGCCCTTGTCAGTCCTATATCATTGCCCCTCTGAGAGGAACCTTGTCCCCGCACTCATATCCTTGTGAACATTGTTTGTTCAATGTGTCTTCTGTATCCAGAACATAAAGTTTTGTCTGAAACAATATAAGACTATTCTTATCTCAGAATTTTAGTATGTAGACTGAAAAGGGAATCAATCACATCATCAGATAATAGCACATAACAATGCCAATTAAATGCTAACTTACATGGCAGTAGAACATACCAGACATTAGAGAAGTAAAGACTCTGTGAGCTAGTGTTCTGGAGAGTAGAGTACTGGTAGCATCATAGAATGTCTGGGTGTTGAAGCAGTTCTTGAAGGATCAGTAGGATTTGGAGGTGAAGTGAAAGGAGTTTACAGGGGTTAGCTTGTCTGTGGAGAAAAAGCATGCACCAAAAAGATGAGGGTGAGCATCTCAGGGGAGTGTGAGAGGCTTGAACTGAGTATGTCTTAGGAAATAATAGGAAATCAGGGATCAAGAGGGCAATTTAGGAAAGAAGCCAAGTGAATATGTCCCAAACCGTAGCAGAAAGCAATCTGTACTTCAGAAAAGTGAAGCGTAAACTACTTAAAATATGGAGTCTTATAACACTTAAGATTTACTGGACACCTTCTCTGTGCTGGTCTCTCAGTGAGTGAGTCTTAAGGAACTATGACCAATATAGGCAAACCATGAGGCTCTACTTTCAGCTTCTCCCATGTAGAACCATCTGGAAAAGGGTTGTGACTAAGACTGGCAGAGGATATACAGTGTTTACGCTTTGTTCTTTTTCTCTGCCTTTATATGTTTTCTTGTGATTCAGAAACTGATAAATGAAAAAGAAAATCTGGCTATTTGGAGGTAAATTAATGAGTTCCTAGAGGAGATGGGACTGGCAAAGACTGCTTGTACCAGGAACTCTTAGCATCAGTTTCAAGCTGTTGCTGCCAAAGTAGCAGAGGATCAAAGGGTGAGCACCTTCGGCCATCACCTTCATGATGAAGAGTTACCCACCTCTTAGTGTGTTGTGGCATCATCACCCTCGTCTTACCCTCACACATGCTAATCAGCAAGTCAGGGAGACTCAGAATGTGTGGTTTTCATCAGAACTGAAACCACAGAATTCTTTATTGAGCTACCTGATGTCTGCTTGTAATAATAAGCAGATGGGGTTGCTGGTCGTGGGTCATAGCTCATCTCTATCCCATCTTCTTTTCATTGCATAGGAAGTTGGCTGTGGACAGAATACCAGTACTGGTACCTGGTTGAACTCAAGTGGTTTATAGAAAACAACTTTGGGTATTTGGGGAAATTCATTTAGTTTGGGAAAGAGGGAGAGTGAAGGAAAGCCAATCTTACCCATGTACAATGCTCCCACCCCCATTGTAGCCTTTACTCTGGGAGCCTGAGCTTCATGCCTTGCATGCTGTTGTTGCAGTGGGAGAAGTTGCAGATGACAGCCAGCGAGCGCAGGAAGATCATGTGTTCAGTGACATTCCATGTCATCGCCATCACCTGTGTGGTCTGGTCCTTATATGTGCTCATTGACCGCACTGCTGAGGAAATCAAGCAGGGACAGGCAACAGGTATGTGCTCAGAACTAAAGGGGAGCTCAGCACAGAGGTCCTGGGTTGCACACTGGGGTCTCAGGATTGGAATGTTATTCCAGATTGATTTTCAAGTCAGACCTCAATTATCTGGATTTGTGGAAGGGGCTACCAACTGTAAGGCAGCCAGCCATCCTACTTGATGTTTCTGTTGTTGTGAGTAGTTTTGAAAACCCAGTCAGAAGAGATCAAATTATGGCGAGAGAGACTTTCCATGAACTGCTTCCTAGAAGGGCAGGATATAAGGCAGTGGACACCCTCTCCCACCCCTCCTTCAGTGAGATAAGCTTTGATGAGTTAAGAATCCATGGGTTATGGGAAGTTCATGAGTTGTGTTTTGTTTACTTCAGATCTTAAATAAGGTCAGCTATTAGCCTAATCAGGTGTTTTCCTTCCAGGAATCTTAGAGTGGCCCTTTTGGACTAAATTGGTGGTGGTGGCCATTGGCTTTACTGGCGGACTCCTTTTTATGTACGTTCAGTGCAAAGTGTATGTGCAATTGTGGAAGAGACTCAAGGCTTATAACAGAGTCATCTATGTTCAGAACTGTCCAGACACAAGCAAAAAGAATATTTTTGAAAAACCTGCGCTCACAGAGCCCAACTTTGAAAATAAAGATGGACATGGAATCTGTCATTCCGACACAAACTCTTCTTGTTGCACAGACTCTGAAGGCACTGGAGCAGAAATCGTTCACATCTGAATGTGTGGAGGGTATGGTTTTCCTGGACATCCATGAACAGCTGACAGAAATTGTTTACTTCCAGTTGTGTACCTTTTCTTACATGCTTTAATAGCACGGACTGGACAGGTGACTATTTTTAATGATTTCTCTTTCTCTAAACCCCCCTCATGGAATCTCCTGGAAAGCTCTCACATCGGCTGGACATGCCTGGAAATGCACTTCTACCTGCACATCAATGGGAAGGGAAGGTGGGAGACTCAGGACACCATGACAGGGAGCTGGCCCATGGTCTTGAGCACAATGAGAGGTAAAATGTCGAACCTGAGGGAAGAACAGGAGCAGGGTGGCACCCGGGCCCTGATGTACAACTCTTCCAGTTCCCACCCTGGGACAATGTGTCTGGGAAAGCCTAGCCCTGGGGCGAGGACTCCCTCCTCACTAAGGAGAGCCCGGGGCGGTGAGCACCCTCTGCCAGTGCTGCCGCTGTCAGTTCTCTCGAGCAGATGGGCCATGGTGCTCTGTCACGGTGGCAAGGGATTTCACTAAGCAAACAGCACTTTACAAAAAAAGACTCTTTATTTTATTATGTGTCCAGAAAGGTTGGAATTTAAAAGAATGTCTCGTATAGAAACCTCCTCTTCATGACCCCGATTATCTCTTTTATGTTGTAACAGATCTAAAACCCTGTTGCCTTTGACATTCTAAGAACTGTGACACCTAGTCTGTGTCCATTAAAGAGGCTTGTGACTATAAAGCAGGACAAACCGGTCTGATGCTTTCCCATAAAATTTCATGGCAATTAATGGATTGTAAATGGCAATTCCTACTATTTCAAGCCTGTTTTATGATAAGTCTTTATAAAAGGGCCTGCCCCAAACTTTTTTCCTTTTTTTTTTTTTTTTGGTCAACACTGAAGAGGAAGAGCTTATGAATTCTAAAAGAAAGGAAAAGAAGTGAGTAATTAAAACAAAAACGAGTATTTAAATACCATTTCCTTACAGACAAACCTCTCTAGTTTGTGCTGGCCTCACACTAACAGAGTAAGCATGCACCGCCCTGGTCTAGGGTGTGTCCACTGTAGGTGCTCCTGGGCTCCTGTCACCTCGGCCAGCTTCTGTGCCAGGGAAGGTAGCGAGGCAGGCAGGCTGGCTCTGGAACAGGGGCCAGGAGTGAACCACAGACTGCCATGGCCCACTGTGTCACTGCCCTCAGCCACACACCCAACCATTTGTCGCCTTAACTAGACTGAACAGAGATGATCTTTTAGGGGCCCTTGGCCTTGCGATCAATCTGTTCTGTCATCAGGGATTATCTCCTGTATCATTTTTCATAAAACAAAACCAAAATCACTGCCAGAAAGTCTACTTAAAATTCTGTCTTTAAAAACTAATTTCATTGCTCTAGGGAAATGAGTGAACTCCAGGAAACTAGGCCAGGAGGATCTGCAGTGTAGCCTGGGTATCCCAGATGCTGGCTTTCCAGGTGTTGCTGCATGTGCCTAGGGGTTCGGCTTTTAGTCCTTGGAGCCTTGGGTGCCTCATCTGTCGTGTTAGAAGGATGAAGCAAACCTTTGCTTTCCAGAGTGGAAGCCCTGTGGCTTATTTTAGAAACCAGGAGAAAGCTGAAGGCTGTCTGAGACCTGGGGGAGAGCATGTGGTAGCACACTCTGTGCTCTGTCACCTCCTCCTACCCAGTCTGACTCTTCAGGATTATGGGCTCTGATCCAGGCAGCTGCTGTGCATGGCCTTCCTCTGGCTGGGCACCACACCAGCCCCTGAAAATTAGTCAGCTTACCCTCTTGCCATCTCCCAGGCCACATCCAGCCCATGCCTGTGTGTTCACTGTGCCCCAAAGTGCAATTACCCACACCCCTTCTCAGCCTGGAGACACCAGGCAGGCTGCTTACTCAGGGTTGCTGGATCCAGGTCATCCCTGACTCTGCCCCTTCAAAATAGCCTAAGGGAGGCCCTGTGTCTGCCACCTTCTAACAGCAGGTGATGGATGATGTGAAGATGGGTAGATTTTTTAGTGGGAATCCTTTCCTCCTGGATGGAACCCCTTATGCTGAACTTGAAAAGTATTGAGATTTCCCATAGAGAGGTAAGTGTGCTTTAGTAGTAATAGCCCCTGGGCATCATACCCTTTGCAGCTGGCATCCCCTATGGCAAAGGTGCTTTTGTACCCATTTTGTGTTGCTCCAATGCCCAACCAGATTTTTATGAAGCCCTCTCACCATCTCATCACCTCCCACCAAGTTCCTAAAACTTCTCTCCCTGTGGAGATCTGTCCCAGGTCTTTACTTATTTCCTCTCCTGGAAAGACACACAGATGCTCTCTTGCCTTTCTCTTTTCTTGCAGATCCTAGTTGAGCACCTTTGACCCCATTCTTTGTCCCCTGTCAAATATTTTTCCCCCAGGGACTTAACTCTGAGGCATGAAGCCCTTGCAAGATTGTGCTATGCTGCCCTCTAGTGGGCACAGTGGATCTGCCAGGTGTTCCCACTTGCCCTCTAAATACTTTTGGAGGTTAATCCCGTTTCCTTTCATTTTACACTTCAGTGGGAGGATGGCATTTGGCTCAACCATATAGAAATGTGGGATGAGCTTGGTACTTGTGGGCCAGGCAGTGGAGAGATGGCAGCAGCCCTCGGGGGTGTCACCAGCCAGCTCTCTCTGACTTTACCTTTATATTCCCAAGAAGTTACAGTGTAACACAAGGGCTTCTGACTTCTTTGGCTGCCAGCAGTAATTTGTTTTTTGTACCCAATTTAAGAATTTCCTGAAAATTCTATAAAAGGTCTCTTCTTACTCTCAGATTCTAACATGTATCTGCACCGCCCCCCCTCCCCTTCCCGCTTTCTTTGTTTCAGTTGACTTTTTTCAATCTTATGGGCCTAGTTTTTAAACTTTGGGTGTGCCCTCTCTGGCTATAGCTAGAAAGGCTACAGGCAGCTGGGGCAGTTCCCAAGCCTCAGGTAATGCCTGAACAGGTTGAAGCTGCTTCTGTTGCCTGGTAGTCAGCTGCAGGGCTGGAGGAGGACTGGGAACAGCAGGATAAAGGTGTTCACAATGCTATGGATTTGGCCTAATGCAAATGTACTTTTGAAATATTTACCTTTTTGGACATGATTTGATATATGCAGCTTCCATCTCTAGCCCAGGAAAGACCTAAATAACTCATTACCTATTTAGATGTAATGTTTCTAGAAAGTTGATTGTTAATAAAAACCAAATTTACACTGGCATGTGTGGTGTCATTTCTAAAAGACACTTAGGGAATTTCTAGTTATCTAGATGCCTAGTTTTGTATCCTTTTGTGTGTGTTCATTGTTTCTAAGTATCATCACTTGAATAATATTCTGTACAGGGGCTCATTTGTGCTATACATAGGGTATCTAAATGCAGCAATAAAACACTTCTTTACAAAGAAGTTTTTTCCATGAAGGTGTTTTCCTGCAAGGAGACTGGGAACCTCTCTGGGCTTCTCTGGCCTGCGTATCAGGGAGGAAGATCCCATTCTCTGTGGAGGTGTCCGTTTTCCTCACCTGCCCTTCAGGGGAGGACAGCTCCCCCAATACTGGTGATCACTGGGGACGGGGTGGGTTCTGGAGGGTGTGTGGGCATGGGAGCAAAAACTGAAGCAGTGCACACAGGTATGCTTGTTGGAAACATGCAATCTGTACGTGAACTTACTGCCTCAAGAGAAGCCACACTCAAGATCTGGATGTGTATGGCAACATAACTGCTGGAGCAGTTGGATTGCTTAACTAGCCTTATCTGTTAAAACATTTACTAAACCACAGCCAAGCTGAGCAAGAGAACCAGGGGTAGGGGGTCCAGCAGGACTGCTGGCTATAGCTTAGCCTGGCTGCATCTCCTGGTTACTGACAGGGCTTCCCTGACTAATGGCAGTGCCACTGATCCTCCAGTCAAAGACTGCAAACCATTACTCACACAGTTTTACCTGTGTACATGAGGTGAAAGGAGGGAGGCTAAGGCTGTCCTGGACATACTGTACCCTAGTGAGTCAGGAGAACACCCACTAGTTAAGAGCACCATGGTAGACTTCCAGAAGACTACCAAGTTTCTTCCTTGCCTTCTGTGGAGAAGAGGTCCCCAGAACTGGGTAGAGCTGTTGAGGCTTCTAGAGGAGCATGGGCCCACTGCGGAGCCAGCAGAACTGCAGCACCTGCTAAGCGTTATCTGCTTAGCAGCTAAGGGGTGTGCTTGTAGGACAGAGGGAAGCCAAGACATTCCCTGAGTTTGTGCTTAACTAGTTGGAGGAGTGATCAGGAGGTGAAGCTGAAAGAGGACTCAACTTCTGTAAGAATATAGTGGGTGGCTTCCTCAGAGGAGCCTCTATGCTTTGGGGAACACCAAATGGGGTCTTATTGAAGGTACTCTTAAGACCTGCAGGTTTTTCTGCCCTTTGACACTAGTGAGGGGTTATAGGGCTGCTGCATGACTACCTCTAGTGGGTATTTTCAATCTTCTGTGTCATGGGGTGGCACACTACTGTTTTCAGGCCAACCTCCCACTTTTGTAAATAAGCTTAGAGGCACAAAGCCGTGCTCATTCATTTTCATACTGTGTTTAGCTGACTTCCTGCTATAATGGCCAAGTTAAGTAGTGGGGAAAGATCTTCTGGCCTGCAAACCCTAAATTATTGACATGGTCCTTTATAGGAAACTTATCCACCCTTGGTCTGTATGAATGGTGCCCACAGAGTTGTTGGTCACAGCCCATGTCAGAGGTGCCATGGGCCCCTCTCCAGGGCCTGTCATTTCCCTAGCCTCAGAAGTTACACTGTGACCAGGAGTCCTGCTGTATCTCTCTACATGGCTGGTTCTGGAAAGAGCTGAGAGGCGTAGTTCCAGGGTAAAAGGAAGAGAGGAAGAACATGCCTTCCTGAACTGACAGCTCCTCTGGGGTGGCAGAGCCTAGCTCCTCAGACATCAGAGAAACCTGCATCTCCCCTGCTCTTGGAGCACAAATGAGCAGAGCAGAGACCAGCCTCCACTGGCATGACCTCAATATACTCTGCACACAAGGGTTGAGTGTGGTAACCCAGCGGTTCAGGGATCCACAGATGGGCTCCACCTTGGTCCGCTGGACTACCTTCCATACTCTAGAGGAGGCTGCCAAGCAGTCCCCTGAGGTGAGCTGGCCTAGCTGTGGTCCTGGCACTGATGTAGTTAGTATGGTCTGCAGAGGTTCAGGGGAGATGGGAAAAGAGGCAACATAGGTTAGTGTGTAAGAAAAAACAGAACAGTCCATTACCCTAATTATCCTATTTCTCTGATGTTCAGCTATCTTATTATGAAATGAAGAAGATACTACCTCATGTACACAGGTAAAACTGTGAGTAATGGTTTGCAGTCTTTGACTGGAGGATCAAGGAAGAAACTAGATGGAAGCTCTTGGGGTGCTTTTTTTGGTTGGTTAATGATTGTTGGTTCATACCAACAAAAACTTGGTAACCCAGATGTCTCCAGACTTCCTTCCAAAACTTTTCTGGTCTGTGAAATCCAATCATCTGGGAACTCTGGCCTAGGGGCTCTTTCCTTGTCCGGGTGGTGTGTGGTCTCTTCAGAACTGTGTGAGTGCCGATGTCCATAGCTTGTATCTGATTTTCAAAGTTGCTCCTGCTTCCCCTCCACATTTTCCCGACAAGAGAACAGCTCCTCTAGTTTGACCATGTCTGGCCTGGAAAATAGCCCAGAGGGGGCTTTGCTCTGAGTTACACTGAGTCACTGAGTGCTCCTCTGACTCAAGGCTCTCCTCCCGCACCCCCACCCTTGAAAGGATATCTGGGAGGAAGTACAAACAATTTCCAGTTCTTTCATCCCCTTCGATTAAGCCCTGCAGAAGCACAGGCCCAAGGGACAGGGTTAGGGTCTCTGGGCTCATCCCACCATTTAAGATGACGGAAGCGAAGGAGGATGTGGTGTTCTGGGGTCAGTGCTGCTGTGAAGAAAGAACACACTTTCTTCTACCCTCAAGGTTCCTTTCACTGCTCTAATAATCAAATAGGCATGAGACAGATTTGCAAAAGAAAATAACTAAACTCAGTACATACACATGGATGGGAACCCCGCATACATAAGTCAGAGACCCACATGCAGGAGAGGTTCAGAGACAGAAAAGGAACAGGTATATGAGGCATTCTGAGCTAGGGATGAGGTAAGGTGCTTAGTAAATAGAAGTTTGTCCTGCCCTATTCAAAAAGCTTATCTCTAATTTAAGGCCCCTAGTTCAAGTTCTTCTAGTTAGTGAGGGAAGAGGCGAAACTTTCTCTTGAGACTGAAGCTGAAGTTACATTTAGCTCAAAATAATCTGCATACCACTGAAGCACATCTAAGGGTAGCTTGTTTTGAACCCCCGCACTGCGCTGAATAAGCAGCTACCTGACTGACCAGTTTCTGTTTTGCCAGAGTCCTGTCCCCTAGAGGCCTGGTGGCAAAAAGTAGAGGTAAATTTTCAAAGTGCTGGAAATGGATGGTACTCTGGTGCAGGATCACCTAGAAGCATTCAGGAGGAGCATGCTGGCCTAGCCTGGGGCCCAGCTTTCCTACGGTGTGCTGCTTCTCCTGAGTTCCTTCCCAGGAGTTTTTGCTGGCAGCAGTGTCCTCTGTGGAATGAGCTAACCATCATACCGTGCCCCTTCAGGGGAACTTCAGAGATAAAGGCAGGGCTGGTATGTCTTTGCATTTCCCTTTTTAAAGATCTGCTCAATGCTCCTTCCTGTTGGCCTGGAAGTACAGCAGGCTGGGATGCACAGGAGGCTGAGAGTACCACGGGCCCAGAAACTGTGAGCCCTGCTCAGCTTTGCCCAAGAACTCGCTCACTGCTCCTCACTCCCTGGGGTGTCAGTGAAACAGCACACTGGTAGTGGATGGGTAATTAATGAGATTTTTGAGTTATTTTATAGAGACAGCACTGCACATGTGCCATCCCTCCTCAGGATGACCCTGGAACCAAAGTCTTGCCTCTTCCCATGCAACTAAAGGACCAGGGCATGACTGGAACTTGAACACTAGGACATTTCAGAAGTATGGTGTCCATTGTCCAGGAGGATCTGCTTCAGAAGCCATTTGCTGTTATCTTCCCATAAATGACCAAGTTGCTTTCATATACCAGGTTGTTCCCCTATCCGCTTAAAACTCATCCCCAAGCTGGATGGAGCAGATTGATTTGAGCTTCATTTCTGGTCTCCTTGTCTGGTTGCCTGACTGACAAACCCTTCTTCTCTGGGAAAGCCTGTTGCCTCAGACTTTGGCTTTCTATGGGCTACCAGGGATGGACTCACGGACCCTTGTTTGGTAACATCTGGCAGGTGGGGGAGGACCAGGTGACAGGGTGGCAGACCTTTCTTTGGAAAAGATGAAATGTATGATTAAATATTACGAGGAGAGGGATGGCATACATCAACATGATGAAAACAAAAGGAGAAAATCAAACACAGCCTCTTCTTCAGGGAAAGTCTGTCACTGGGAGCATGCCAGGCCCCTGCTGGGAGGGCAGGGGTGCATATTGAGGCCCAGGCAGGGGATGCTGAGACGCTGGCAGTGGAGGCATCACATAGTTTTAATAAGTCTGAAGTTTACATAAAATGCCTGTTGCTTATTGAGATCACATGATATGCCACTTTGCAGCTTGCTTTTTCACTTAACAACCAGTTTAATACTTTTTTGTGTCTACCTTATTCTTTTCAACTAATACAGAATTAACTAAATTAAATTAGATAACTAAATCCTTGTTGATAAAGACTTTTAGGTTGGTTACTAGTTTTTGATATTAGAAACAAGGCAGAAAAATCCACATCTTTGACATTTAATTTTGTATACTTGGGTGTCTGTGTGGGATGGAGAGGTAAGTTCTGAAGATAAATTCCTAGATGTAGAAAAACAGAAAAGCATTTTAAGGTGCCAAAATTATCTCCAAAATTATTAATTTATCTTCCCACTGTGAAAATATGAAGCTCTTTTCCTTACATTGCAACGTGTTAGGTTTTAAATTGTTGCTGAAATGATTGTCATTCTCTTGTATCTCATTGATGCTTTACTTTTCATTTCTCATATAAATGAGATTGTGCATCTTTTGTATACTGCCCATGTTTGCTTATGTGAATTTCCATATGCTTTGACCATTTTCTCTTGGATTTTTGTTTGTATTTTTTCATTGATTCATGAGTGCTTTTATATGATGTAAGAATGTCAACTCTGCTTTTATATAAGTGGCAAATAAGTGCAGTTCATGAGCTTTTCCAACATTTCTTTATAAATAATTTTAAATATAAAAGTTTTAATAATTATAGGTTCTACAATTAAAATGTTAAATATGCTTTACCATACATCTCCACCTATGCATCACTCTATTCATCCTCAACTTTTTTTTCATGCATTTCAGAGTAAGTTGCAGCTATAAGTATACTTCACCCCAGCCACTTCAGTATGCATATTGTTACCTAGAACTCAATATTTATTTATGGTTCTTTTTGTCCGTAGGTAAAATTTAGAGGGTAAAATGCACAAATCTCCAGTATATCATTTGAGTAAATGTTGACAAATGCATCCACCTATGTAATCAAACTGCTATCAAAATACAGAACATTATCTCAATCCTTAAAATTCTGATAGCCCTTTTCAGTCCACCCCATCCCCATACCTCCCAAAGCAAACATTGTTCTGATTTCTTAGTTTTAGCTTATCCTAGAACTTGGTTTTAATGGAGTCATACAGTATTATATACTTTTATATAAGAGTTCTTTCTGCCAGCACATTGCTTTTGAGTTTCATCCATCCTGTTACATCAATTACCTCATTCCTTTTTATTGTTAATAGTCCGTTGTATTTATATACCAATCATTGCATCCATTTAATTATTCCTGGATAGTTCAGTTTTACAGTTTTTTGCTATTATGACTAGGACTGCTAAGAATATTTTTGTGAACATATGTTTTCATTTCTCTTGGGTAAATGCTTAGGAATGGAATGCTGGTCCTGAAAAGGTAAGGGTATGTTTAGTTTATAAGAAACGAAGAACCTTTTATTCAAAGCAAGTAGACCATTTTACATCCTCATCAACAATATGAAGGATAATTCATGTGCTTGCCAATACTTAGTGTTTCCAGTCACCAACATAAAATGCAAGAATTTTAGCCATTCTCGTAGATGTGTACTTGTATTTCATTGTGGTTTTAATGGGTAGTTTCCTAATTAGCGTTGATCATTTTTATGTGTATCTTGTCATGTGCTTATTTGCCATTCACAAATCTTACAGTCTCCTTGTATCAGGGCCTGTCAAGCCACATGACCTGATTTTTTAAGGCCCTTGAGCTAGGAATATATTTCACATTTTTAAAATGCTGTTTTTAAGAATCCAGCAGATTGCAGATTACTTGCCAAACCTAAAATACTTATAGAAGATATTTTGCTGAGTTTTCTATGTATTTAAAGTATGTCTCTTGTTGGATATGGACTTTTATTTACTTATTTATTTTTGAGCTATCAGGACAAACTAAGATGTGGGAAAAATCTGTGTCTTGAAGAGACACTGGACAAAGGCACTAGTATCATTAGTTTCAATCACATATGTGGAGCTGATTTAACTTGAAATGGGTGAGGCATCACGGTAGGCCTGGTATTACCCATAGTTGAGCTTTTTCAGGGTGAACATAACAGTAGCCCTTTAAACTGGCCTTTGAAACTTCTGATATTTCCTCAGTATTCCCAATGCCCTTTGGGACCTAGAAAATACAGGGGTCAGCACATCTTCCCTGGACAACAATCTTTTTGGATGGAGAGAGCATTACCTGAGTGGAGAAAACATAAACAATCCCTTGCTGATGGCAAGGAACCTCCTGGTTGGCCCCTTTTGGGTTCCATCTTGTATCCACAGTGTAAAGCATGTGATGATTTAAGTAAACACAGGACTCTGTCTCCTTCATGCAGGGTATCTGCAGATATTTGCAGCTTGGTTGTCAAGACGCAGGTATAATTCCCTTCAGGAGGGAAAAAGGAGACGTGGGTTCTCATAGCTTGGATTAAGGGAAGCCAGTCATTGGCATTGGTGACTTTTGGCAGTGGCATTTTCAGTGAAGCAAAATAGCTGCTCAATTAAACATGAGCCATCCTATTAATAGCAATCAAGACTGATGGGGAGGAAACATACTGCAGTGGGGTATTGATTTTTTAGATGTAGTCAAATAATCTCTGCCTTTTTGTCGGAGTTTTTTGTCAATTAACTTTTGATGTAATTATTGATATGGTTGGTTCTGCATCTACCATTTCATTATTTGATTTGTTTGTCCCGTTTTTATTTCTCTACTCATCTTTTCCTGCTTTATTTTAATTATTTACATATTTTAGAATACCATCTATGGTTTTTTTTAGCTATTCATTATTTTTAGTGGTTGCCCTAGGGATTATAATATACCTACTTAAAATTTTACAGACTACTTGGAATTAATATTGGGCCACTTGATATGAGATGTAGAAACAATGTCAATGAAAATATCCATTTAATACCTGTTTTCTTTTATGCCATCTTTACATGTATTGTAAATGCCACATGGCAAGGCTATAATACTTACTTTAAATAGTCATATATGTTGTAAAGGAATTAAGAGAAGGAGATAAGTATCTTAATTTAGCAAATTTTTACCATTGCTGAACTCTCCCATCCTTCCTGAGGATCTGAGTTTCCATGTAGTGTCATTTCCCTTTAGCCTGAAAAATTTTCTTTAGTATTCCCTGTAGCCTGTAGAATGTAGTGTAGCTCTGGTGGCAACAGGCTCTCTTAGTTTTATTTACCTCAAAATTTCTTTATTTTGTTTTAACATTTGAAGGATATTTTTGCTGGTCACAGAATCCTGTGCTGGTGATTCTTTTCTTTTAAAGCTTTAAAAATGTTCCATTGTCTTCTCGTCCCTACAGTTTCTGATGAAAAGTCTATCTGTAATTAAAATCATTCCGTTATATGTTTCACCGCTTTCAAGATTTTCTCTTTAACTGTCGTTTTGAGGAGTTTGAATATGAAGTATAGTTTACGTTATTCTGCTTGGGTTTGGCTGAGCTTCTTGAAGCTCTCCAGATTGGGGATAGTGCAGAGGCTTCTACTTAGATGGAATCACAATGATTATAGTTTTAGTTGGGGGCTGAGGGTGGGGGAGGGGATGTGAGCTGTTTTGAGTTGGTTGTAATACAGCATGTGGAAGGAAACCCATTTTAAATGAACCTTATTTTTATGACAACTAATTCTTAATTCACTCAACAGGAGTTTATTTGGACATGTACTATATGCAAGAAATTGAACTAAGCAAAAATAGACCAGGAAATAATCATCCTATGTCTCCAACAAGAAGAAACATCTCTCAGTTATCCTGACTTGCTGGTGTGGAAGTGCTGAGCTAGATGTAGGGCTGGAAGCTGCACCATCCTACTCTGTGTAGGAGGGGACCTGTGTTGTTTCCATGCCTGGATCCCAGTCTGAGATTTGCTCAAGACTGAAGAATAAAAAAGGAATACGCACAGAAGCTTAGCTATAATGTGGCCCAACCTGGGGCAGCCTTTGGGTTGAAGCCAGTCAGCCTGGGGCATGTGGGCAGAATTCCCAGGAATCCTGGTAGGCTTGGGAAGACAGAAATGCCAGAAGGCCTGCCCTGGTGCTGCCCTGTGAGCCTCCCCACTGGGATAGGCTGGAGTCTGGACAGGCTAGAACAGGTGACCATCCTAGGGTGAGACTGGCTCAGGCAGCCACCACTCATATGGCCACGCTGTTGGGAATCCGGTCTGGAGACAGGTAGTAATACGGCAGCTTCTTGTTCTTGTTGCGCTCAGCGATCACGCTGACGATGGTGTCGAGGTTCTTGCGGAATCGGGCCATGGCCTCCTTTACAGGTTTTTCAATGAAATGCTCCTCTGGGTACATGCCCAGGAACAGCTGAGAACCCAGATGGACAGACAGACATACAGGTTACTCTGCAATGCAGCAATGTTAATTGACAGACCTTATCCCACCCATAGAGATCATCCCTTGGGAGTCATCCTCTGCTGCATGCTGAGAATACCCCGAGAATGCAAATGCCGTCTCCATCCTCGCTTTTGGTAAGGAAGCCTCCAGGGTGGAGATGGGGGATTACAGATGAGTGGGAGAAATAACTGCCCTTCTCTGCTCCAGGGTGGCTGTAAGGACATGTAATGATGCAGGTAAATGTAGAGGCCGCTGTTGGCCCCAGCCATGGCAGGCACGTGGCCATGGAGGCCTGCTTGGCCTGTGCTGCAGAGCACTCCCACCTTTCCATCTTGGCCCCAGGCAATAGGCAGAGGGGTCAACGCTGGCCTTCTCTCGCCCTGTTGAGAGAGTGTGCTCATTTGTACACTCACACAGGTGCCTGCAAATTAGAACTAGAAATATTTTTTAAAAAGGATTGGATTGTTAAAATAGGAAAGTTTCATAATACAGGGCTGGAAAGGGAAGGAGAAGCATCATATGCTACTGGTGGTATTTGGGATTTAGTTTGTGGAGGGCAGTTCAGTCTTAACATTCTTTGACCAAGAAATTCCCCTATTAGGAGTGCATCCTCTGGTTCTGTTGAACCCATGTGCAAAGAAATCTATCCAAAGATGTTAGTGAGGGACCAGCACATTAGCAAATGCCCTAAAGTAACTTAAATGCCCATGGTTCTGGGCCTGGCACAATCATTCTCTGCAGCACTGAACTAATGCCATAGGGTCGCATCTACTAAGACACCCAGCTTTGGGATTAGGCTAAACAAAGTGTATGGAAATGTCTGGAAGGATACCCAGGAAACTCTTAGTTGTTACCTCTGGGGTACCAGAGAGAAACCCACAGGAGAAAGCTTCGTCAACAGCTAGGGGTGGTGGGGGTGCCTTTGTGAGGAGCGTCACCAGTGGAGCAGAGTCCCCTGCGGTCTCCTGTCCCAGCCACCCTGAACTTTCTCAAGCTTCAGGCCTGAGGACCTTTAGCCTTGGAACTCAGGATTCCTGGACGGCAGGTATCCATCCTGAGTCCTAGTCACAAAACCCTGAAGTTGAGGAGAAGGTTAAACCTGGGCAACCTGCCTGCCAGAAGAGGCAGAATGGGCTCACCTCATTGTCCTGGAACTGGCTCAGTGCCCACACTGCGCCCAGATGCCAGCAGGAACGGCCTCGGTCTGGAAGTGTGTCCACGATCTGTTCGATGGTGACTACACCCTTTGCTGTGGGTGGTGGGGCCCGCATGGTTGGGGGGGCATTGGGAATCCAGGAACACCAGTCATACTGCAGGGAGAGCCACAGACATGCAATCCAGCCACTGCCTACCTGTGTTTCCTGCCTCCCCCTTGTGTACTCCTCCCCATCCAAAAGGGCCCTTGGCTGTGGCCAGCCAGGGTCCTCCACTAAGCAGGCAGAATCCTGAAGGGAACCCTGATCTGGGCCCTGAGGCTGCCTGAGTTCCACCTGGCTTCCTCTACCTGACTGGCTGGCTGGAAAACTAGGAAGAGGGGCATCTTACCCTATGGTCAGTAGTAGTCGAGATCAAGGTTATCCCACCCAGACAGCTCCCATGCCCTTGCTCACCTGGCCAAAGTTCACTGCTGCGTGCTGGGCTGAGGCCGTGAAGATCACCACAGTCAGGTACTCAGATAGCTTCTCCCTGGTCTTGATGGACTTGGGGAAGCCTAAGGCAGAGCCAGGAGCTGGCTAAGGCCCCACCTTCCAGGAGGGACACCCGACCAGCAGAGCTCCACTGCCATCCACATCCTTCCCAGGGGTCCCCTTCACCAATGCTGAAGGATGGGCATGGGCAAGACACACTGGGAGGGGTCAGCACCTTGGCCCAGTCTCCTGATGTTTCTGACCCAGGCTATCAGGGCTACAGAAAGCCCTGAAATGTCCCCATGAGGCATACTGATGGGCAGGGGTCCCTTGGGGACTCTGGTTCTACCACCAGGTGCTAAGGTGACTGCAATAGGCCAGTGTTGCCCAAGGAAATTCAGAGGTGCAGGGAACACCAGAAGAGAGGACTGGAGGAGAGCTGGGAGTGGTCCCTACCTGAAGCCTTCTTGCCCCGCATGCCGTACACATAAACATCCTTCACAAAGTCCTGCAACTCCTGGTCCTCCACCACCAGCTGGTCACTCTCATAGTAGATGCCCACCACATCAGCCACAAACCTGGCTCAGGAGAAGGGGCCCAACAAGCAGTGGGTGATCCAACCAGGGTCTGCAGATCTGTGCCCCCATGCCCCAAGGCAGAGCCCCATCAGTGACCCTGTCACTCCTTAATGTCCAGGTCATCAAGGTCACCCTACCCCAACATGCCCCCCTTCCTCCATCAATGGCCTGACAACAAAGCCAGGAACCTGGCTCCCTGAGCCGGTCATGCAGGCTCCTGGCTAGGTCCATCAATGCTCACATTCACTCCTCCTCTAGGACCCCCACCCTGGCTACACAGAGTAGGTCCCACACCCAGCATGCACTCACGTCTTGATGGCCTCCCACACCAGGAGCCCATCATCCCGGTAGAAGTAGTAGGGAATGTCCTCAGTGCTCTCCATGCCCCGAGCCTTGATGGCCTCAGGGAAGCACAGGGAGGCATAGGTCAGGTCCTCCATGGCCCTCTGCACCATCTGTACGTGACCACCACCCCCTGTGGCATTGGCCTTGAGGGGGAGGGAAGAGAGAGTGATGTAAGCTGAGGCTGGTTTCTCCCTCTAGTGTCTGGCTCCAGAGCTCCCAGGAGAAACTGGGATCAGCGGTGTGGCAGCCAGGCATGCAGAGGGCCAAAGCCAGGTCCTGTGAGGTTGGGTTGGAGGACTTTTAATTTGGAGAACGCCAGGGCAACCCACTGAAGAGGCCACGGTGGGAGCTTCTGCCTGACCTAATGCAAGGGGTTGAGGTGGATGGGTATGTGCAGAGACAGGGCAGCTGCAGAGGAAGGGGCGAACTCTGACCCTGAGGAGGGCAGCGGGGACAGATGGCAGAGTGGAGACCTGGGCTACTGCAGCCTTGCAACTGCTACTACCATTCAGAGTTCTGAACACAGACTGCCCTGAGACCGAGTACTGCTTTCAGTGACCAATCTTTGGATGAAAGAAGGGGGCACATACCAGCCCCCAGAACCTGTGCAACTCTGTTAAGGGCTTGTGGTGTGCTTAGGTGGGCAACGGAGAGGCACAAGGAGGAATCCTGGCCCTCCTCCCTGTGGCTGAGGTACAGGCACACCTGATCTCAGGCATACGCACACACACAGGGACTGAATACTCAGGTCACAGAATCCTCCAAGGAAGACTTGGGTACTGGGGTGCCAGACATGTGTCCCCAAGGGTTGGTTGACCAAGTGGGACCAATTGGAGTCCCCAGCATTGTCCATTGCGAAGGGAGATTAGGAAGGTCACTGAGTGGAAATATGAGCCTCGAGCTCCCATGGGGGAAAGCCCTTCTGGAGCATGAGGAAAATACAGTTTGGAGAGAGAAAGAGTATGAGCCAGTGTGCTTGGATCCCAGGGACTGAATCCCTGGGTCCACTTTCATCTGAAGCTCCCTCACCCCTATGTGTTCAGGCATATGAGATAGGACACCTCCTGTCCAGCTTCAGCTGGTTTGAGTTGGGATTTGTCGTTTGCAACCCAAACAGTGGTTCAGCCTTAGTGACTACCAGACTGCTCACTAATGGGAGGTGAGAAGGAGGGAGGTCAGGGTGAAGGTTACAGGGGTTGAGGGAGGTGGGGGAAAACTGGGCTTGGTAAGGCTACCTGGGGGGTCAAAGCAGGGTAGTGTGCTGCCTGGGAGAGTGTAAGGAAAGAACAGGGACTGAGGCCCCGCTGAGGAAGAGAATAGGTTGGGACCGCTGGTGATCTGAAAGGGCAGAGGCTGGGAGGCTGTGTACAGAGTGATTGGCAGCAGAGTGGGAGGGAGGACACAGGTCCCTAGTACATAAGAGGTGAGAAGTGGGCACCAGGAGGCAGAGTCTGCACCCACATGCCAGAAGATGGAAGAGGGGAGGGGTGAAAGAGGTGACAGGGAGACACTGTTGAGGAGGAAGAGCTGGTGGTGGTGAGCTGTAAGCAATGCACTCAGAAGAGAACCACCTGGTGGCCAGGCGGAAGTTGCCAGAGACTGGCCACAAAACCTGGGGAGCCTTTACTCTGCTCGCCTCCAGCCTCCACCGTCCACCCTCCCCAGGCCCCTACTCGATGGTACCTAGGGGCCTGGTTTCCTGGGAGGAAATCTGGACCTGAGGCGGGATGGAGGTTTTGAGAGGTGGGTGCCCACCAGGCTGGGGTATGCCCTGCATGGAGTGCGGTGGGAGGAGCCCACCTTGTCAAAGAGGCCGTACTCGCAGATGAGCTGCTCTCGAGCCTTGGTGTTGATGGCGATGGTGAACCGCACGTGTGCTACCAGGAGCTGGGCAGAGGAGCCAGAGAAAATGTCAGAGAAGTCTAGACCTGCATCTGTGTCTCCCTGGAGCCCCCAAGGACCTTCCATAACTCCATCTAGTCCTCTGTGTCAGGTGATGCTAGGGCTCAGAGAGGAAATGCAGGTTGGCATAAAGGTCTTCACTGCTCAGAAGATGCTGCAGGCCTGGGGCAAAGCTTTGATGCTTAGTGATAGTGATAATGATAAAAATGACAACAGTCAACATTTGTATAGAGGGCATCTATGTTCCAGGGACTGTTTTAAGCTCTCTAAAAAAAAATTTATTAACTATTTGAATCCTGACAGTAATCCTATGAAGCAGGTGTACTGTTTGATCTTTGTTTTATAGATGGTGGAAACTGAGGCACATGGAAATATTTTTGGCCTGCAGTCACCCCAACAGTCTGTGCTGATAAGATTCAGGAAGAGAGAAGGGCAGCGATAGTGAGTTGCCACCTGCACTCTGACCAGGGTCATGCGGAACTCTCTTGCCTCTTCAAACTCTGCCTTCCTGCCTCAGGCCACCAGGGTGTCAGGTCCCCGGCACCAACAGTCCCCTGGTGTCCTCAGGAAGCAGGACGCTGTCAGTGGGCATTACTGTCCAGGAACATCTCTCCAGGGGGCCTGTCTGCTGGCCACTCCCAGCCACAGTCCTGTGAGGAGGTCAGGGCTCTTCCCCCTCCATCCTGTTCCCTCCCTATCCAGATACCCTCCCCCAATGGGCAAGGCAGTAGCTCGCTGTACCTTAAAAATGGGGTGCACAGCAGGCAGCTGGCGGTACATGGCAATGCCAAAAACTTCAGAGACCAGATGTGTGCGCAGAAGGTGGGTGATAGTCTGGTGGATGTGGAAGTCACTGGAGCGCACCCAGATTTTGGCCAGAAGCCAGTCATATTTTGCATCCGAAGGAAGAAAAATGGGGTTTTCATCTCCTGGGACTTGGTTGAGCTGATATGCAAAAGAAGAAAATACACTGCAATCTCTCACTCCAGACTCTAGCTATAAGAGAACCTGGCCTCTCCAGAAATTCCGGAAGAATCCACCTTTCTTAAACAGTGACTTTTGAATCATTAAAGAATCATGGAACAGGGCAGATGGCTCAGGGTTTGTGTTTCTCATTCCAGCTACATCACTTCACTTACTACCTGTGGGACCCTGGACAACTTACTGAGCCTTTCTGAGCTCCAGTGTCACCACTTGGAATAAGGGGACAGTATTTATTCACCTCACAGAGCTGTTATGGGAAGTGAATAAGAGAGCATGAAGGCATCAGCATGAACTGAGTGCTAGGTGCTTAGGGCACGCTGTTGTGGTCTTCCACCAGCCCCCATCTCCCCTCCTGCCTTCCCTATTCAACATATTCCCTTTTGGTCTCTGGCACTTTCCCTTCCTCTGCTCATCCCTTAAATGCTGTATTTCCCCTGCCTCTGCTTCAGAGCAGTGCACCTGACTCCCTCCCTGCCCTGACTAGCTCCTCCAGTTCCCCGGGGCTATAGGGCCCTTGGGATGCAGTGTCCCAGGTCACTGTCCCTTTAGCCCAGACCTGCAGCCAGGTGCCTCCCTAGTAGAGACCAGGCTGTCTTGCCTCTCCAGTTACAACTCTGCAGTGGGCCAAGGTGACTTTTTTCCTAAAATGGAAATCACGCCATTCCAATCCCTTTATAAACACTCAGTGACCTCTTAATGCCTGAAAAGAAAGCCCCCATGCTTCATGGTCTGGCTGCTGGCATTGGGTCCCTACCTGCATCCCTCCTCATTCACCAAGCCCCTCTGGTCTTTAGCTTTGCCAGTACCAGTAGTCACTTGCATTCATCAAGCTGGCTCTGCTTCAGGAGCCCACATTCTGATGTCATGTCGTCTGAAAGGTTGGGACTGTCATTACCCCATTTTCAGAGGAGGACACATTGTCTTGGAGGGTGGACATTTAGGATGACAGTTAATTATCCAGACCAGAGGAAAGTGGGAGAGTGGCATTCCAGCTGCATTAGTCAGTGAGGGTGGAGCTGGAAAGGGCTGTTCTGGGCAGTAGGCCCTTCAGAAGTCAGTGTAGACAGCAGAGTAACTGAGGAGAGCTGACTGCCATTGCGGATGGGGGTGACCAAATAGGCTCCTCAAGGTCATACTAAATGTTTTGGAAGGTAATTTACCTGTCTCTTTCAAAGACAGTAGTGTCCAATAGAAATATAATGCAAGCTACAAATAGAATTTTAAATTTTCAGGCAGCCACAGTAATAAAAGTAACACGGGAGAAGATTATGTTAATGATATAATTTTATTTTACCTAATATATCTAAAATATTATTTCAACATGAAAATAACATAAAATTATTAATGAGATATTTACGTTCTGTACATGGGTATTATATTTTATTATTAGCATGGAGAAAAGCTAATGGTATTTTTTGACCATTAATGGGTGGTGATATCAGCATTCTTTTTTCTTTTTAAAAAATCTTTATTGAATTTATTGGGGTGATATTGGTTAATAAAATTATGTATGTTTCAGGTGTACGATTCTATAATACATCATCAGTATATTATATTTTGTGTTCATAACCCAAAGTCAGGCCTCCTCCCGTCCATTTATCCCTCTTTACCCTCTTCTACCTCCCTTCATCCCCCCCTTCCCTTTGGTAACCCCTATACTGTTGTCTGTGTCTATGAGGTTTATTTGCTTAATCCATTTACTTTTTTCACCTAGCCCCGAGCCGCCGTCCCCTCTGACAGTTGTCAGTCTGATCTCTATGAGTCTGTTTCTATTTTGTTTGTTATTTTGTTCATTAAGCATTCTTTCTGATTTTAATGGAAATGGCCTCAGGATTGCTAGTTTTGAATGACATTTCCTGGCTTTATCATATGGAAGTAATTTTCTTCTATTATTATTTTAATTTTTATTAGTCGTGGCTACTAAATGTTATTAAATTTCCTTTTAGTTTCAATTGATACAACCAAAAGATTTTTTTTCCTTATTGATGTAGTGAATTATGCTGATAGTTTTCCTGTTATTGAGACATCTGGAATAAACTCTCCTTCGTTATGACATAGTAGTCATTTGTAACTTGGAGTGGTCTTCAGTTCTTTCGGAGCCTGCCTGTGTCAGTTTCAGCACTGAGATTGTGCTGGTTCCACAGAAAGAGCTGTGGCCAATAAGCTTGAAAGAGCTGTGGCCAATAATCTTTAAAGAGCGTTGGAAATGTGAGTTTTCTAAAGGCTGCCTAAATCAGGGCTGTTCATCACTGGGGCTCTCCCCAGTCTAGACATTGAATCAGCTTTCTAATCACTTCGGTAGAAATTGGCCTATTTTCTACAATTTCTTCTAATAATTCATGGTTTTCTAAGTTTTTATCCATTTCCTCTAGTTTTTCAAATTTGTTGCCACATCATCATGCTTTTAAAAAAATCTGTGATTGTCTTTTTTCTTATGTCTAATCTTGTATATTTTCACTTTTCTTTCTTTTGTTAGCCACATGAGGGTGTTATTTATTTTCTTGGACCTTTTTCAGAAACAGATTTTGATTTATTGTTCTCTGGCCTTCATTTGCACTTGCTTTATAGTTTGGAAAGTTTCCATTTTCAGGAGAGGGAAGAAATTCAGGAACATTCCATGACTTGCCCAAGGTTCCTTGGCCTGTAAGCAAGTGGCAGAGCTGGGACTTAAGCCAGGCCCCTGACTCCAGGCCACTCCAGGGGGCCTCTGGAGGACAGGCTGCGTCAGAGGCATGTGCCAGTAGTAAATGGCCCCCTTCTTGGTCTCCTGTCTGTTGACTTCCTTTGTAGCATCTGTCCCTTTACCATTTTCAGTTTCTTAAGGATAGAGCTTCTCTCTGATAATAGGCTGGAACCCTTCGTAAGGAGACATGCCCCAGAGACTGGGTGACAGGGTTCAAGGGAACATGGTCTCCGGGAGCCAGACGGACCTGCTATGAGTCCTAGCTCTGCTACTGACTATATACACCTGTGCCTCAGTTTCCCTATCTGAGGAAAACTGTCCCTAGCAATAGTGTCTGCCTACCTTGCTGGGTTACAATGACAATTACATGAATAGAGGCAGGTCCTTACTTAAAACCCTGAGGCTGTGTGTTACAGAATCCAGGATTTTTAAGATTTTAGCAGTGTATATACTTCATTATGTGACATCTTTCTCTCCAGCCTTGGATTTGGGGCAATATACTATTTTACAATCAAACATACTAGTATTCTTGCAGTGACATATGAATTTCACATGCAATGGGATAAAGCCTTTAATAATAGCCTCTTCTTTTTGTTTCAGAGCAAGTCTTGCTACCAATAAATTTGTTGCCAATTTTTGGAAAACCTGGAAGTGTTAGAATTTTTTATATTTCAGAATTGAGGATAAGGGATTGTGGACTGTGCAGGTTAACCCTTAGGGGTAGTCTTGGCATGTGGTTAGCACCTGACAAAATCAGCTGCTCTTATGGCTATAGCACCCAATGTCTGGTTCATTAGTTAGTTAAAAATACTGTTTACTGAATACTTGTCTGCCTGTCCCCCATGGGTCCCCTGTGCAGACTACACCCAAGACCTATACCTCGTCCTGTCCTGGGTGTTGCTTTCTGCTATCTGTATGCCAGCTCCCACAGTGTGGCAGCATCCTGGTGCTTAAAGGAAGAAAAGGGCAGCCAAGAAGGAGGGATGAAACTCTGCCCCCACCTGCCTCTCCCCGAAACTGCTCCCCTCTTTCCTCTTCCACTGACCCTGGTAGAAACAAGACCTGTGGGCACTTGAAGGCAGCCTCCCAGAATCAGCCCAGTCCCTGACCCAGCCTCCATGGTGCCTCACAGTGGATTCAGTCTCCAGCTCCTGTCACGGTTTCACCTGCCTGGCCCCTGTTGGCATTTTGATTTTGAGCCTCTCCTCAAGGTTGGGGTAAAGTACGTTATCCCAGGGCAGGTCCTCTGCAGAGCATATCACCTTGCCAGGAATTTCTCAAGTGTATCTTGAGGAGTGGAACCCTTTCTGCCCCTGTGGACAGCCCTCCCCACAACTGGCAGAAAGCCCAAGGTTCTTGTTTTTCTTGTGATCCTGGTAGAGCTCTCATCACCCTTCTGTGGAGGCACAAAAAAAATTCCTCCCCGAGCTCTGTCTGCTGAGGAGGAAGCCGCCCAGGGAAAGAACAAGGCCAGTAGCCTACCTGGATAGCAATGGGGACAATCTTCTTGGCCAGGTTCTTGTACAGCAAGCAGATGGGTGCGGCCAGGAACTGCATAGTGCAGGGGTCTGTTTTGTTTGCATCGATGCCATCCAGCAGCTTGAAGTCCACAATGAAGATGTTCCCTTGCTGCAGGAAACCAGAGAAAATATGTCCAAATGAGTGTCAGCTAGGGAGGGCCCTAGGGAGGTCCAGAGGGAGGGATAGGCAGCTTTGAAAGCCCCTGAAACTCAGCGGAGTTCAGAACTTGTAGTTCTTTTGTTCTCACACTCAGGGTTGGTTCTTGTCAAGAGCTTTCAGGTTGTAGAGGTTTTTTGTTTGTTTGTTTTCCCCCACAAGGTAAAGAAATGGAAGTGTCCAGTTTTGCATTTGTGGTACCTGCAATCTGCTTGACCCTTACGAATGATGTTGAAAGACCACCCAGAATGACAGTTTAATATGAAAAAAGCAGTTAGACTTTAGATGAAATAGATAAGTCAAACAACAAAGAGTGTAGCTGTAGGATTCCAGTTCCATAAAGTTCAATACTAAGCAAACTCCACTGTCAGTCACCCCTAGGAGAGAGCAGGAAAGCAGGCAGGTCTTCAGAGGTAGGAGATTCTGCTGGGATCAAGGGGTGGAGCAGGCTCTGTAGGGGCCGTCTCTGCAGAGGCAGGGGGAGGACTACAGGGTCAAGTTAGGATCTTCAGGAAGGGGGTGCTGGGATAGGGAGAAGCTGCGAGGCTGGTGGGTGCAGTGTCTGCAGTAGTGGAATGCTCTGTGTCCTTGTCTAAGGCTGATGATCCAGTGCAGTGAGTATTTGATGCAAGTTCATTGAGCATGCTGACACTCCTGATTTATACCCTTTTCTGCAGTTATTATGTTTCACTACAGAATGAATTTGCCTGGGGTTTGGGGGAAGTAGAAAACAGGTCTTTCCAGACTACCACTTGAGTCCTCCAGAAGAATCCCAACCTGAGTATCCCAGGCTTCCTTTCACATGATTGGGGTTTGAGTAAAGGGCCTTCTTAAACCTTTTGTGTGTGTGTGTGTGTGTGTGTGTGTGTGTGTTTGTGTATACATAATGATTAGACATTTATGTAGCTTACAAAGTGATATAGGGGATAATAGTACCCACCTGACACCATACATAGTTATTACAATATTACTGACATTACTGACTATATTCCCTATGCTCTACTTTATATCCCCGGGATTTTCTTGTTTTAAGTGAGTGATAGAGGCAAGGGTTTTGGGCAGCTAGGGAAGGGGTTAGGGTCTATGATGTGGCAGAAACAGGTCAACAGGAGCTTAGGGGAGTTGTGTGTCCACACCTCTGTCAGCAGAGGAAGTACTGTGGCCACCTGTGCACACACTTCATGAACCCTGGCTAAGGGGTATCAAGGACCAGAGAGCTCAGAGCCCAGCTGCCATGTTTCTCCTTTGTGAATGCAAAGGACCCTGGAAGTAGTGTGACACCAGTGATGAGCTCTGAGCATCTGCTTATGATGCATGTGGGGTAGGGGAATGAGGGTGGGGGATTGTGTCCTTGGCCAACCAGGGCAGAGGGAGGGTTCCAGGAGAGTGTGTGATAGGATTCCTCAGGACACCTGGACATGCAGGTAGGTGGGCTGTCTGAGTTTCCATGATGGACCGGGCAACTGGCCTTTCAAAGCAGAGATGACCATTAGTGACTACTGTGCAGAAGGAATGGCTGTCAATCAAATTATGAGAGGACCCAGGTTAGTTAATGTGATGAATGACAGGCTAAAGGGAGGCCCTGTGAATCTATTTCTGGGAACCAGGAGATCTGAGATTTGGGCCTGACATAGGGGCATTTCTCTGCTACCCCAAGCCAACCCCTCTCTTTGGGCTTCAGTGTCATCCTTCTGGAAACTGAGAGAGCCAAACCTATCTCTCAGTTCTGACTTCAGTATTCTGCTATAGACACTGGTATTCTTGCCTGTCTGGTAGCCCTGTCCTCTCCATCTGGTCAGCGTAGCTCTCCTGGCCACAGTGATTGGTTCAGGGAATTGAGAACTGTGCATGGGTGATGGGTGGCATGTGTGTGTGACTCTGGTCAGTGGTGACTATTTGGTGCTTCAGGACCAAAACCACAGCTGACTGTCCAGGCTATCGTTTAAAGGAAAGATGACCATTATGACAAAGATGGCTCCAACCCACCTACCCTGGAGGTGGCAAGGACCCTGGAGCAGAGGCTGTCCCCTGCCAGGATGGCTAGGCTCACAGATGACTGCTCGATGCCTTCCAATTCTAGGATTCTCTGGCTTTTAAGGTTCTATGACTCTGTGATTTGAAGTTTGAAACCTGTAGCACTGAATCAGTGTTAATACACCCAGCAATTAACCTCCAGAGGAATATTGCTGTGTGTGCTGCCTGCTTGGGGGCATGTATTGTTATTGTCAGACATCTATGTAACCAGGTAGTGTCTGGGTGCCTGGGCAGGTCCAGAAAGTGAGGGTGGCTAGGACCACCTGCCCTAGGGCAGGGGCTTTTCCTGGAAACTTCATCTGGGAAGGTAGTCCTCAGTAGTCAGGTGGGCAGGGTATGGGGACTAATAGATTTGTCCACAGATGGCACTGACAGTCCCTCTTTGGCCAGGGCCCCAAGGTGAGATGAGCAATCAGCAGAAGGCCACCTAGACATGTGGGGGCAGATGGAAGGAAGCTGAGTCCTCTTGATTCTAGTAGGAAGAGGCCAATTAATGGGAAACCAAGGGCCATTCCTGGGACCTCACGTCCCCAGCATAGAATATGCCTGACACCAAGTCCAACCAGACCCATAGTGGAGGCAATATGAACCCTTTCTTTCTCAACTAGATCTTTCTTGGAACTGGAGAGGGCTGACCCTGCAGGTGAAGGCCGGAGGAAAGGCTGGGGAGAGGGTAAGGGCAGAAGCAGATGACATTAACATTTGAATGAGAAAGTCAAAAGTTCCATCAGTTTTATCCTTTTCTTTTTTTCTTTTAGTGCTGTCCAGTTGTTTCTTTTATCAATTTCCTCACCTTTGCAAGCTGGGTAACAATTTGATGGCCATGTGAACAAAGCTTCTCTCACAATACCTTGCTTACAACAGGCCCATCGTTAGAGGGGCTCTTTGAATTATTGACATTGATATGATGTTCCTAGACCCAAGCATCATGTAGCAATGTCATGGCCAATTCCTCTTCCCACTTTGGACAAGACATTTCATAAATGTCCAGGAAAAGGAAGAAGCTGCTCCATCAAGGGCAGCTGATCTCACCATTAGTCCAACAGATGAGCCTGGGAATGGTGGCCTGAGGCCAGCAAGCACTGGTCCACAGAAGATGGTTTCTGCCAATATAATGTAGCCTGGCCATTGAGTTTGGCCTCTGAACTGGACCACTGTTCCTAGCAAATCAGGCCGTACCTCAACCTCCTGCTCCAAGGTGAGCTGCCGCTCCAGGCTGCACTCCACCATCTCTGTAGTCACTGGGAGCTTCTCAGGCAGCTTTTTGCAGCGCTGGATCAACACGGGGTTGCAGCCATTCAGGAACTGGTAACCGAACATGAGGTCTTCCTGCCAGTGATTCATGACCCGCTCTATGGAGGAGAGAAGCCTGAGATCTCAATGGGAGCAGCCTGGGCTGGGCTGGTTCCCCTCTCCTTGGTACTCCCTAGACAGCTGGGTGGCCTCAGGCTCTGTCTGTCATGTCCAGTCACCTGTCCCCCTGCCTGTCACTGGGTCGGGTCAGCACCACCCTGTCCTCCCTCATCTGGGCCTTAGAAGGTTCCTGGACACCCTTTCCTCAAGGACAAAAATAAAAATAGGCAAATGCAATTGCATTATACTGAAAAACTTGTGCATAGCAATGGAAGCAATCAATAGAGTGAAAGGCAGCCTACAGAATGGGAGATATTTGCAAAGTATACACAGACACACACATGTCTGATGAGGAGTTAATGTACAAGGTATACAAGGAATTCCTACAACTCAATAACAAAAAAATCCAATAGCTCAATTAAAAAGTGGTCAAAGGACTTAAGCAGACATTTCTCTGAAGAAGACAGATAAATGACTAGTAGGTCTATGAAAAAGTGCTCGGTGACACCAATGATCAGGGAAATGCAAATCAAAACTACCTCACACCTGTCATGATGACTATGATAAGAAACAAAACAAAAGACCACAGGTGAGGATGTAGGGAAATTGGAACCCTTGTGCACTGTTGGTAGGAATACAAAATATGCAACCACTATGGAAAACAGCATCGGGTGCAAAGGGTGTTTCTGCCAATATAATGTAGCCTGGGTAATGAGGCCTGGGCAGCTGGGCCTGGCAGAGAAGCCATGGTGGATCAGGCTGGGGCAGCACTTTCCAATCCCAGGCTAGTCTTCCAGCACCATGAGAGCCCCCAAAGGCACACTCACCAGAAATAGTGTTGCTGATCTTGACGAAGATCTTTTCAAAGTCAGCGAAGTCACTCCAGGAAGACTGGAACATGTGCATGAAGCGGTTGATAAACAGATTCTCCATCCTGCACAACAGGAATCAGACAGCATCACCTTTCTCTCATGTGCTGGGCCTCCCTGTGCAAAGACCCTTCACACCATGGTCTTATGGAGCCTCTAGATACTACCTGGGCAGTGGAGACTTGAGCCCAGGGCAGCTCCTGGGAACAGCTGATTGGCCTTGTGGAACCAGGACAGAAACTGGCAACCACATCAATGCTCTTCCTCCTGCACCTCACCCATGACAGAGATTGCCTGCCATCAAGAACAGCCTACAGTGCCTCTAATCCCTTGCATGCACACTCTTGTCCCTCCCTCCTTCCTTCCTTCCTTTCTTTCTTTTTCTTTTTCTTCCTTCCTTCCTTCCTTCCTTCCTTCCTTCCTTCCTTCCTTCCTTCCTTCCTTCCTTCCTTCCTTTCTTTCTTTCTTTCTTTCTTTCTTTCTTCTTTCTTTCTTTCTTTCTTTCTTTCTTTCTTTCTTTCTTTCTTTCTTTCTTTCTTTCTTTCTTTCTTTCTTTCTTTCTTTCTTTCTTTCTTTCTTTCTTTCTTTCTTTCTTTCTTTCTTTCTTTCTTTCTCTTTCTTCCCTTTCTTTTCTTTCTTTCTTTTCTTTCTTTCCTTTCTTTCTCAGTGCAAGCTTCCAAGGACACAATGCCAAATCGCCTATGCAGCTGCTCTACTGAGTCTCCTGAATTTTAGGAGGATCAGCAGTTCAGTTGAGTTTAACACTCATTTACTTTCTATATAACCCTGGCTCTGTGCCTGGTGTTGTGCTGAGGATACAGTTTCTGAATGCTCATTACACAGGATAAAATATAACCCAGGACAGGAACTCAGTAGGTTCAAAGTGCAGGCTGTAAGCCATAAAGAATGAGATCTGAGTGGCCTGAGAAATCCTGGGGCCTTCCTGGAGGAGGCAGGTGTGGGATGGGCCTGGGAAAGGTGGAGAGGAATGTAAGAGGCTTCCCAGGTTCCCTACAGAACCCAAGCCAGGCATACAACAGAGGTCTGGGAATTCTGGCCAGTGCTCACTGTGACACATTCTGCCTCAGTTTCTCTCTCTGGCACACGCATGGCTGAAAGTAACAAGCAATTACCTATTTCATTCCCACAGGCAGTGCTTGCTGCTTACTTCTCCAGTGTTCAGGCCTCCTCACATGCTCTGTCCTTTGTATGTCCTGACTCAAGGGCCTTGGCATGTGCATTTGCCCTACAATGCCCTGCATTCCCGTTTCTTCTCCTGAGAAAATGGGGTGAGTGTATCTTGAAGGCTCGCTTGGCATACCCCTACTCCTTTAATTTCAGGGAAGCTGCCCCTTCTCCAGAACAAGCTGGCCCTACTACGCTCTCTGCAGTGCTGATGGCAGATTATATACAAACCCATTTGTGTAAACATCTGCCTGCTTACCTCAAGCACACAGGCAGGTCTGCATTGCTCAGTGCTGAGCTCAGGCCCCCTGGCACTTAGAGGAGTGCAGGCAGCATTGAGTGTTTTCTGAGAGGGTGGCAGGTGCCTGGGGCAGGGTACCATGCCAGGGGTGCTCCTCCAATGGGCTCCCCTTCCCACTACACCCCAAGAGTGCCAGGCAGAGTTCATCCCCTCCCCAAGGAAGCGGTCCTAACTAGAGAAGGCCCAGCACCATCCCAGGATTCTCTTTTGGAGTGATAGGTTGTCATTGCTGAGCATTGTCACAGGAAGTTTTGAGAGCCCTGAAGCCTCCTCATGCTCTCCACTACTGGCAGGGTTAAAGGACTGAAGTTTGGGTGTTTTATCCAGACTGAACCTGGCTAAGAGGGACTGAAGTCCTTGTTAACCCAGGGAGTCACCTGCGAGCACACATGATGGCAGCAAGTCCAAGTGACCAACGCAGGAATTAGGCAGAGAAGCAAGAGACTCTGGGGCCCTTCAGGCCCTGGTCAGTGGGAGAAACCACCTGAGACAAAAACTGACACTGCTTGCACACTCCCTTTCCTGATCTGCCTCAGTTTAACAAATTCTTCTCTCCTTTGTACTGATTGCCCTGGGATTCCTAGGAGCCCCCGCTGCTCAGGAGAGTGTCCTGGGGCCACGAGGCTGGTGACTACTGTGAGCCTCGATTTCTCTTTCAGCTGCCAGCATGGTTTTGAGATGCTGTAATGTCCGCAAGGTGCTGGAGCATAGCCTGGGCAGTGTGGCCAAACACAGGGTGCTCCGCACCTTGGAGCTGGGACATAATGCCAACATCATTCTTCAGTGCACACCTGGTATCTTCATCACTTTCATCCTGGCCCCTCATGGGGGAGGGGAAGTTTCACACCCACGCTTGTCGCAGCCTCCCCTCCAGTAGTCAGGGATGCCCCCTGCTAAGCTTCTTTCAGCCATTTACCTCCTTCCTCGCCCTCTTCTGTCTCCCTTGTTAGTGACCCTCTGGGGAAAGAAAACTTTAAGCTAGAGGAATAAATCTCCCTGTGACATCCAGTGTCAACCTGAGTGTAGAAAGGACTTCTGTGGGAGGAGAGGTCTTCCCAGGTGTTACGATCCCCAGCCCTAAGGATGGCCCAGTGCCACAAAGAGCCCAGGAAACAGGTCCTGGACCCTGGGATCTTGTGGAGAACTGGGTGTGAGTCACAGTCCACAATCCAGTCATTTCCTGCTGGGAGAGGGTCACAGTCTCTCCAGCTGGGTCTCTTTAAATTCAAAACAGGGTGTGGTGGGGCAGTACTCAGAGGAAGCAACAGATCCAGGAAGAAGTGGAGTTGGAAGGAAAATATTTGCATGTTCTCTAGAGACAAAAATTTCTATATACTTACAGACAACTGGAATACAAAGGATTTAAAAGATCTGTTATTGTAAAAAGAGAAACCTGCAGCCCAGAGAGGGTACCTAGTTCATTCGAGGTCACACAGCCAGGTAACAGCATGGCCAGGTAATGGCACAGCCAGGTGGAAACCTGCACTGATCTGCTTCCTAGAGCTAGGGGCTCTTGTTTTCTCTGCTTCCCCCACTGCTTTCCTGCTAACAGCTTCTGCATTTTCCATTTCACAGTTTTGTGTTTGGCGTGTGGGGGAGGGCGGGGAGCAAAGCTTACTGAGGAAGGCTGGTCTTGTTCCAAGCAGAGCAGGTGGCTTGGAGGAAACGAGTCTCCAGAGTTACCCAGAAGTGGTGCAGGAACTGAACTGCTCAGGGGCGGAGGTTCAATGTGGAAGGCCTCTTTGGTGACCTCACCCACGAGTTTCAGTTTTCCATAGGCTGGGCTGGGCTTAGCCATAGGCAGAATGGCACTTCGATGGCCTAAGCCACAGGGACACAGACCAGGCTCTGGGTTTATGGATTCTGTCTATCAGGAACCTGCAGAGCAGAGCAGGTCACCAGGCATGGGACCACTAGGGGGCTGGACCAAAGGGTCTTGGAGTCCCCAGTCTACATGCTGGTATCTGGGCACAAGAACCCTGGATGGAGCTGGGAGGCTATGTGTAAGTCCTCGCCAATGCAGGAGAAGGCAGCTGAGATGCATGCAGGTCAGCACAATGTTAAGGACCTGGTCTGAAATCCCAGCCCCACCACTTCCCAGCCACATAACCTTGGACAAGTCCCTAACCTTGCTGTGCCTCGTTTTCCTCATCCTTGATGAAATGGGCATAATGTTTATCTCTCCCTCACAGGGCTGATGATGCAGAGGGCATCAGCATATAAAAAGAGATCATCAAATATCAGCAACTAACACTATTATTATCACTTACTGTTAGTATTAAAGCCTGTAGCCTTAGTCTACGGTGTTCTGGGGGCACCAGTAGATAAGTCCGTGATCCAGTCTGTAGCACAGCACTTTGCCTGTCCCTTCCCTGGGGGCTTCTGTCTCATTCACTCGTCCTCTTTATTCATGTCCAAGTCATGTAAGAATTTTCACCTATTGACCCCTCTCCTTCTCCTCTCTGCCCCCCCAAAAATGTTTTCACCCAGGACACTGGTGACTCCTGGATGACTATTACCAAAAGTCCCGGTCAGTCCTAAACTCCTCTGACCTCTCTGAAGTATCTGACAACCAATCCCTTTCTTCTTGACACTAAAATACACAATGTCCAGCTCCCTGGACCTTGTCCCTGCTTCAAACCTCCATGGTCCTGACCTCTGCTACCCTCCCCAGGTAGAGGGTGGCCTTCTTGCCCACCTCCCTGCCTTGGCAGCCTCAGCCCCACTTCCCTACATAGGTCTAAACTCCAGTCCTCCGGGGTCACCAGAGTTCTCATTACCCAGAATGCTACCCACTCTGCTCCTTCATTTGTTGTAGTGAATTCCTGTGACTCTTCAAAACCCACCTTGGGCTTCTGTCTTAGAAAGTGTTTTTCAGGTACATCCCTAGAATTAGGCCTCCCTTGCCTTGATTTCCCCCAGGGCTCTTTTTCTAAGGAATGTCTACCACATACTAACGTGGTGAGTGTCCACGGCTCAGTCCCCACTAGACTGTGAGCTTCTTGGAGTTGGGACCAATGGGTCATTTTTTGATCCATCTTGGGCCTCCGGCCCCTAGAAGCTCCATATACACTTGTCAAAGAAAAGTGGCAGATAGCCCCCTTCTTCAGGCCTGCTCCTCTGGGGGTGGAAGAAGCCCAGAAAAGCTAGCAAGCAGGTGGTGACAGCGCTGGAAAAGTCAGCTCTCTGGGCTCAGGGCTGAGGAAAAAGTCCTCCTAAATACCCAGAATAAAGCTACTAGAGTAAACTCACTTTACAGTGTGCCAGACAACATTATGGGGACGTTGCATACATGAGTTCATTTAAACCTCGTAACAATTTTAGCAGCTAGGCATGATAGTGTTCCTATGATAGCAAGGAAACTTAGCGTCAGAAAACTTACTCTTCCAAGATGGCTAGAGTCTGAATCAACCCCAGCTGGCCAGGCTTTAATAAGCAACCTTTTGCTTTTAAAGGGTAATTAGAGATGAGTTGGTACATGTTGCTAATTTTAATAGAGTAATAGATTTTTCCCGAGGAAAAGAAACATTTAATCTGCAAGTGTGGTCCATGGACGTCACCTGGGGGCTTACTGGAAAT